GTAGGACAGAAAATGACTTCTATACTTTTAAAATTTGTCCAAAATTTAGGAGGTCTTTAGACCGAGCCAACTATATATAAATTAATTGCGGAAAATATTGTTTCCACAGAATCTGCAGGCAATCTATTATTTCTGATCCTCAAGAAACTCACGAATCTGATAAATTAACTGGAATAGTTGCAGTCAACATTGGTGGCATAAATCTTCGCTCCTTTGCTGGAGTCTGCAGAATATCTTATCACGAAAATGAGGATTTACTCTCTCACAATCTTCGATAAGAAGCACCAAACCCCATAAAAAAATGATTAGGGTTTTAAAATTCCGTATTTTTTCCAGAAATATATTAATATTACGTTTATTATTATGGAATTGAAATAAAATAACGAGTATTATTTTTACAGTGAAAGTACCTATCATTGATAAAAGCAGGCAGTGTATGTATTTATTATTATTTATTAATTTGTATATTTTGATAAATGACTCGCAAGATATTCATTGTGTTCATTTGGTGGTATAAAATTTCTATATCAATGGCAATCCATATATCTGATAATACTTCTATTACATGTGCAAAAGTATCAAATACGTTTTTATAAGAGCTCAATTAATGTAGAAATAAATGGCAAAAAATGTTAAAATAACAATATTATTATTTACTAATTTTACATGATCGTATTTGGTAATGTAGTAATGTCTTCAATTCTCATAGAAGTAAATTTTTTTTTTTTTCATGCAACCAAATTCAATAGTCATTAACCAAAAAAGCGTCTCGATCAGAATGTAAATGTGCATCGTCCATAAGGGTGCAAACATATGGATACTCAAGAGTTCCATCAATCACATGCCGTACGATCTTGAGCGTTCACATGTTTACACCTTTTCTAGAAATAAAATATTCACCAATACAATTGACAGTCGGTAGACATTCAGTACTGTATGATCTCCAAATCAGCATTTCTGTATTAAATACGAGTACAGAATCCATTTGATTGGTTGTGTACTGTATGTTGATGTATGACTTTTTAAAAAAATTTCTATTTTTGTAGACAAGAATGCAAAAGGGTACAGTACTGAATGTCTATATACTCTACAATTAAATAGAAAAACTGATGGATGGTTCAGATTTGAATGCTTACTAAATAATATGTTATCAAAATAAACAAAATTCATAAATATTTTTTAACTTTAACCTGTCCCGAATTTGGCAAAAAAAGATAGAAATGGGCACAGTATCAGTATAATTAATTATACAAAAATTCGGCCAACTGGACTAATATTACTTGAACATCTCAACTTTCTAGAAGGATCGAGAACAGCGCAAAGATAGGTGACTCTTTTGAACTTTGATTATTATTATTATTATTGTCATCCAATATAATCTCCAAACCCACGCCGTGCAACAATAAATTCAATGATCAATTTATGTTAACGGGATCAGATTTGAGTGGAAAACAAACCTTTATACATACAATTATGTAGGGCTTGCAAGTGGATTCACCGTGGCAGCACCTGTTCTCAATCAGAAAATTCTGGCCTTCTTAATTGGTTCATACAACGTTAGATTTTATTTTAGACTATTCTACTTTTTACCTGGTTCTTCCAGCAATTACTCTATAAAACAGGGTTTACTTATTTTTCTGGTGAGATCAAACATTTGTGAAAATATTAATATTTTAGCAATATATAATGCTTGCCTTCATTGATAATGATGATGATTCAGCTTTAATCGAATTAGTTAAAACACAGAGTCGAATAAAAAGGTTTTGATAACCAATTCACACGGAAGTGACACGCGCGCTTTTCAAGTGAATTTAAAGATGCAGTTACTTTGTACACATTTCATAAGTTATTTATCATTAAAAGACAAGAAAAAATTATCAACAATAAAATTCAATATATAAGATCAAGTTCATTTACGTCTATTGAAGAATCACATTTGAAACCATAAACAACCGTCTCTATAAGACTAGTGGTTTGCCAATCGGTAAGTGTCAATTAGTCGATCTTGTTGAATCAATCGAGAATTTAAAACCCATTTGGAATCCATTCATAAAATATTAAAATAAAAATAAGCAAAGTAAACGTTTTATATTCATTAAATTGATTAAATTGATGAAATGATTTTTTAAATGTTTCGAGAAAATTAATGGCTTTTGCATCAGATAGTGCAAATAGTGCAAATATCGAAACAAAAATTTAATATATAGTAAGGAGGAAACAAAAAATTACCATTGTGTATTCATTTATTCAAACAACATTTTCTTTATGGACTGAACATGTGCAGATGACGGAATGGGTCGATAATTAAAAGTTTCTCAACCTTCGTTTGAAAAAGAGCAACACACTTGGAAAATTATCCATTATTGACAATTAACGCTAAATTTTTGCAAACTATTATATTATTATTAAAATTAATTTTATTTTTTATTATTAAATAATAAATAATTTTATAAATAAAAATAAATAAACAAACAAATATCTATATATATAATTGAATTAAAAATAAATTAACGAGAAAATTAATGGGAGAATTAATGAAAGAGGATTAATGAAAAATTAAATAAATAATTTTAAAATCTTTTTTTTTTCAAAAAAACTAAAAAAAAAATCATTATCATTATCATTACCATTATTAGCAGGAATTACTAAGTTTTCCAGCATAATAAGACATTGCCATTGATAAAATCATCATAACAAGTTGTTGTGTATTGAACTCAATTATAATCTTTGTGAATCCTTTATCACTAGTAGCAACAGCATTAACAGCATTATTTGTGTTGATATTTGTAACAGTGTTGTTGTTAGTGTCAGTATTAAGAATAGCATTGGTATTGGCGCTAACAACACTTTTATTAGTATTGTTAAGGTTTAAAAGTGGTTTCCTTTCAATTTGTGAGTTATTTATTTCATCATTCCATAAAGGTGATGATATAGCTGGTACAGAGTTGTATTTAGTAATCTAATTTATAAAACGGTGTTATTATTAGTATTGGTTTCGGGCCAAATCAAATCCATCCGAGCAAAATCATAATAAATTAGGATTAACTTACATTACTGGTTGTTCCAATATTGTCGGTACTTAATATTTTCTTTCCAAAATCGGTAGTTGTAGTAGTCACAGATTTTAGTGAAGATCTGCTGTTTATTTTTTGTTTAATAAATGTCTGTTCACTAATTGAAATTCTTGATATTGATGTTACAGATTTTCTATTTTTATGTTGTTGTTTATTCTTATCATTGTTATTATCGCTATCATCATCATTAATTTTATTGATAATGTCTATATTTTTTGATACAAGTGTTTTATCATTATCTAAATCTAGATTACTCTTACTATTACTAATAGCATCGATAATATCATCGTTATCATCGTCACCACTATTATTTTCTTTTGGCGATGGCTCTTCAACTTTATTATTGTTGTTGTTGTTGTTGTTGTTGTTGTTGTTGTTGTTGTTGTCTTTATCTTTAGTAAGTATTCTACTATCACTGTTAATGTTTTTATTTTTAATTCTATCATCATGATTATTGCTACTTTTGAGTCTTTCTTTATCAATTTTTTCTTTGTTTGTCTTGGCAATTTTCTCTTTTGGGACAACAGGAATAATTTTTTCGCCATTATTATAAGTTAATTTATAACCTCTAGTATCAGCATTCTTTTTTATTTTAATCTTTAACTTATCAGATTGCGACAATGACGACGACAATGACGACAACGACGATGTCGGTGGTAGTGATGATGGTGATGTAACAGTTATACGAATAATTTCCGAATCATTAGCTAATAATTCAGCCTTAACGTCATTATCATTGTGGCATTCAAATGATATATCGAATCCATTTGGATACATTAACTTGGAAAATTTAATTTCTGCAATAGCACCAGGAAACGCTTTGATAGTTGTCACGTAATCAAAAGTCTTAATGTCCAATTGGTCAGGTAATAAAGCTGTAGAAGAGGATGATTCCAGTAACATGTAGGGCGGATAACCAATTTTGTGCAATAATTCATTAATTTTCAAAACTACTATTGGTGTTTGTACTGAAAATTGCTTTAGTATGGAGGAGGGAACAGTGGCCAGCTTAATATCAATGTCAACTATATATTTGCAAAAGACTGATTTGATCCTGTTAGGATTAGAATCAAAATAAGTTGGAATAAATTCCCAGCCAGCAAAATGTAAATCTGCTCTAACATGTCTTTTACTCTGTGGTATTAATGGATCGTTTACTGAGACTGTTACGTAACGAATTATCCCTGTTCCTTCCTCACGATCAAGCATACCAGCCAATGACATGTCACGGCCACTGACTGGAAATGTGCCCTTCATTGCTACTCTTACCAGACAATCATAATCATTCAAAAACTCAATTATTTCCCCTCCTTCATATCGATCGTCCCCTATATTTTAAATATTATGAGAGAGGGAGAGTGAGAGTGAAAGAGATTTAAAAAAGTTAATTTTAAAAATTTTCAATTTTTTTTTTAATTATGTGCTTCAAGTGCACAAACCCCTACTTACAAAGTTTTTTCATGTCTAAACTGTAAGCAATGGCATAGACATCTTCAGCAGTGTAACCACCAGTGATAGCCATTTCACCACGTATTAATGGAGTAGATTTACCAACAACATCTTTCATATAAATCTTGAATCCTTTATTTTCAGAATATAAATTCCAACCTTGCAAGCTAGATGATTCTGATTTAAATTTATCAAGGGCTTTCTTCAACGCGTTGCTATGACGATGAGTTTTCTTGTTTTTTAATGTTGCAGGGTATAGTTTGGATGATGATGATGGATTATCTATTGGTTTAGAAGTAGATTTGTGATTATGTTTCTTTCTTGAGGACGATGAACTTTTTTTTGATTTTTTTAATGATGGTTGCGATTGTTCCTCGCTATATTGGTCTGAGATGGAAAAAGAAGAGGAAGCTACATCCTTTTGCTGAGTTATGATCTCTTCTTGAAGATCTTTAGCAATGATCTCCTTGATATTTTCTTTTTGATCATTGTCATATTCATCTTCTTTCTCGTCATCATCTTGTCTGAATGGTGCGAAACCTTTTGGCAAAGTAGGAGAATCTGTATTTTCTAAAGAACTATCATTACTGATACTAGCAATATCAAAATTAGTTGATTGTTTAGAAGGTTGTAAAGGTTGTAATTTTAGTTTATCTTGATGAGATAAGGATTCGCGATTAGTTCGACTTTTATTTCTCTCATGTTGTGAGTTTATTTCCGAATAATCAATATTTTCATTAAAATTTTCAAGTTGTTTGGATTCTTCATTTTTACTTTGATCATCATCAGTAGTATTGCTATATGTAATTGATAATCTATTTGATGATCTGTTTATAATAGTTGATGAAACGTTATAATTCTTATCAGCGCCATTGATGTTGATTGATTTGAAAGCGGCAGATTCATTAATCAAATTCATTTTTATGCTAATATCACTTTCAGGAAAGGAAATCCTTTGTGAACTTCTACGATATTTCGTCGCCTGTTGAACATTACTACTGCTACCAATACTACTATCAGTACTAAGAATATCACTTGTATTCGTAGTTGCAACACTATCTTCAGCTGTCGATAAAGATAAAGGTCTAGACTCAGTGGATGATAAATCGACAGAAAATGATGGAGACCGAGAACGAGGTGGTGTAGAACCGATAAGCGTTGGAGGTGGACCATTTTTTTGCAAATACTTATCAATAGTGTTTAGGATTAAAGGACGTTTTGATAAATATTTATTAGCAACAAATACAGGAATCCAGCCTTTAATTTGAGTTTGTAGTACATAGCTGACTCTTGTTTTTGGTGGGTTGATTGATATTGGTTCGAGAACCCATCCGTTCAAATGGATGTATGCTCTGACTCTATTAGCTACTTTTGGAACTTTGTCGGTCTGTACCGATTTTGCTACAAAGTAAATCGATCCATTACGTGTACACTCTATCTTTTCCACCAATGACAAGTCTCGTGGTCTAATTGGATTGTAGGCAAGGGATCGTTTTAGGAATTTTATTTATATTAAAAAAATAAAATAAAATAATAAAAAAACGTCAATCAATTACTTTGATCCGCTTAAACCTTGCAAAACCATATAAGTTAAACTTGTTGTATCATTTAAATTCTCTACAAGATTGCCCTCCTCGTACCTAAAGAATAATTGATTAGTTGGTTTTTTATTAATTAATTTCATCCATCCAATCAAATTAATTTTGTCAAAAATGTAAATTTACCATTCATCCCAAAGTTTTCTCATCCCAATTACTGCAAACACAGCTTGAGGATCAAATCCATTGATTTCATGAGTACCCATGTATATAGGCATGTTACTTTTATTTTTAGAGTAGACATTGACACCACTTCTATGAGTTAATTCTTTTGTCCAACCACTTTCACTAACAACCGCCTTTAATGTTTTCAAAGCATCTTCGGCCAGTTGTTCATGGGAAATCGTTGATTTAGATGATGTTGCTCCATTATTATCACTACTATTGCTATCAGCATCAGTGGCATCCTCAACGATAATATCTTCAACACTATTTTCCGTCCAATATTCTTCAACGTATGATAGTTCATCATCATCATAATCATCATCATCATAATCGTCATCATCATTTACTACATTTTTGTGTATCTTTTCACCGCCCATTATGATGAAAGTTACTGAAGTTGATTATTATGAATGAGTGGATGGAGTGATTAATAGCAAAGTTTTAAAATTTTTGGAAATGAATGCTCTTTCGTATCGGGAGAATGAAATTCAGAATATTGTGAAGTTTGGGGTGGAATGCATGCAATTGGAACGAGAAAAAGAAGAGGAGAAGAGGAGAAGAGGATGAATGGGGGGGGTTAAATTAAGGGCAATTTGTGAAAAGTTTCAAATTAAATAAATTTTTGAAAAAAAAAATGAGAAACGGAAAAAAATCACTTTATTTAAAGAAATAATTTATTCATCCATTTTGTTTATAAGCAGGTGACTATCTATGATCAATATGAATATGATGAATAATGAATTCAATTTATAGTTTATCAATATAGTTAAAAGAAAAAAAAAATAATCCTCAAGATCATCTTCATTTATCATTAATTTATCATATGATTTTAATTTTTTTTTTTGCTCATACACATACAAAAAACTCATTAATTGTCCCGAAGTTTAACCAAATAAATCGGTTCATCAATAATTGGAGAAAAATAAATTACACTATTTCTATTTGAATATTTAAATTATCCCGAGGTGGTTAATTACGGATCATTATTTTCGTCTAATTTTATTCTATTTCCCATTCTTTGCTAAATTTGTTTTTTCACAAAAAAATAAAATAATGAATTATCAAAGTTGGTATAGAAATTAACCGATCAACAACATTGGATGAGACTATAATTACCATCAATAAGGCTAAATAAGTAGAATTTCGATGAATTATAGGTTATGGTGGTATTATATATATAATTAATGGTGATATATATAATATATACGTATTATTGATAATAATGGTAGGTTGTAAGGAATGGATTTTTACTTTCATATTATGTTAATAAATTGACCCAAGAGAAACGTTATAGGTAATCGATTATTGTTAATATTTTAGAGATTAGCAATCAGTTTATTATAAAAATATATCGTCTATGGTTATAAATAGTATTTGCATCTGGTACACACTATGCTATCAGCCTGAGTTGCATTGCAACATCAGTCTGGAGACTGTACATAGCAAATGTGTATGTTGACGGATGTTCTGATCTATATACAAGATCACTATTTCACCTGTGTTTCTTCTTCCTTGTCACTAGATTCATTCGTGGACGAGGCAGGAAAAAGATTTTACTTTAATTCCCTCAATTTTTCAGAAGATAGATCAAACGCCTAAATTGGTTAGTGTCAGGTGTGGCTGTGGGAATGGGGGTGAGAAACATGAAGGAGATAGTGGTTGTGATAATTATGGAAATGATGATAAAGGAAAAAATAATCGTGATCTTGATCATAATAGTAAACTTAATAATAATGGTGATACTGATAATATTAATAATAAGACAGCTAATAATAACGAATGCCATGGCCACAATAATATAGAGAAAACTGGTATTTTAGACGCAGTTTCAGTGAAACAAAATATGTTTTAAAGAAATCATTACAGGATTACCCAAACTTTATTCATAAAAGAAGAAATCAAGAAGAAGTTGTCAAAAAGAAATCTCCAAAGAATTTGAAAAGGATGAAGAAAATGAAGACGGAAAAGCCTGAGGATGGCAGTCCAAAATCAACTACTATATAGTTCGGCTGCAGTTTCTTCAGCCTCAGCTACAAACACTTGGTTGAAAATTTTTCAGTTGCCAATGTTTCGGCTGTGACTTCTTTTGCTTCTGCACCTTCTAAAGGTGATTACCAGTAATTAAAATGGAAATTTCTGTAAAAGAACAACAAGTACAAACGCATCAAAGAATCTGAAGAATAATCGTTGCGGTTATTTGAGGGAAAAAATGGAAAGAATGAACAAAATAAAGATGATTATAGAACAATATTTCATGATAATATTGCTAGATTGAAATAGAAAAAATACCGAAAGAGCCAATTGCCGTACTACATCTTCATTGTCGACCAAGTGATTTGAAGAAATGACTTGGTTTTAATAATAATTTGTCATTAAAATTTGTATGATAAAATCAAATAAATAAATGCGGGAGTTATTTTATGAATACATTTGCAATAAAGTGAAATGTTTTATTATTCGAGTGGAAAACATATTTATCGAAAAACTTTTATTTCAGAAAAAGTGAAATACCTTTATTAAATCAAGATAATTGACTATATATACGTTCATTTGTTCAATTATTTAACTTGCTACGATTTTAAATCTATTCATTTATTTTATTACTTCTACTTTTATTTTTTGCTACTTGCCATATTCTGCTATCTAATTTCTAATTTCTTCTTTATTAACACGCATTAGTGAAACCAAATGAGAATAGAATATTTAGTACAAGTTTTACATACACAAAGGCAAAATATTCAGCATCAACTAAAACGCTTAGATGTTTCCAATTCATTTGATAAATCGAATTCCTTGTTATCTATGTCAAAACTTACATTATTTCGTTATTGTTTAACAAACTCACTATTATTAAATTATTCTTAGGCTCAGATATTAAAACATTATAATCATCCTTTTGCAAGAAAGGTCAAGCTGGCCCCATATGCCTCAAAAGGAGTCCCCGAGTAACGTATAAAGTGGAGAAACCACCGAGTTTTGCATTCAAAGAATGCCAATCAAACCCTCCTGTGTATCAAGTTCATCGTCCTCCTTGAAATGTCATCACTAAAAGATAGTGGGAAGGCACTTGCATGGGAATCGGAAGAGTAGTTCTATTAAATCCAGCACCTGAGTTCACTATGTAGGATTTAATATATTCATCTGAGGTCCAATTATTATATTAATTGAAAAATTTCAAATGGGAAAATCGAGTGTGTGTGAAAGAATGATAATCTTTTTTTCTTTCAAAATTGGTTCATTTCGCATGGTTGGGGCGATAAAATTATCTCTTTATAAATTAATAATAGTAAAAACCAAACAGGAAAGGCCAGAAACTGAAGGTATCTTGTGCCTTTTGGGGACTATTTTAAGGTTTTTGGAGCATAATTCCGACAGTTACCAATTCATTTGCTAATTAATTAGTGAATGAAAAAATTTTTATTTTTTATCAATTATTTGATAAATTTCTAATTCATCGAATTTACTATTTACTATATTGATGTTATCATAAGTCCTTCTTGGACTACAATAAACACTACTATCTACATTAAACCAAATATCACCAATGCATCCGAAAGTAGGTAAATAAGTAGGATTACAATAAATTGCATTATTGTAATCACTATTAATAACATAACTAATTAGTGCACTATTAATATCATTTCTATTTCTAATATTAAAAATAAAACTTTCAGTTGTATTCTTATGTTCACTTCCATTCCAACTAAGTGGATTATAACCACCAAATATTTGCTCTGAATTTCGTTTTTTGCCAACTACAAGGGTTTTGTTGATATTATCGCATTTTTGATGGAATGTAATTTCATTTAAACCATCTCTACTACTGCGATATAGAAGTTTGAATTCATATTTGACTTTCCTTAATGAAGTGTATGGTGGATTTTTTTTATCAATCCAATTTGCAAAAAGCAAAGTAAGATTTCGGTTGATTGTCATTGACTCAAGTTTTGAATTTCTTGATGGTAATAAATTCAATGTTTGTTGTCTACCAGGAGCCATATAAGATTGTAAAAGGGCTTTCCATAAAGTCCTAGGAAAAAGCATATTGTATGGTTCAATCTTATCAAAAAAATCATCTCTAGAAATATCCTGGAATCTTATTAGAGGAAAAAATTCTTTTAATGTGCTGCCTAAATCAACAAAATCTTGTGATGACCAATCCCCAACATTGATCTTATTGATTTCTGGATGTTTTGCTAATCCCCATTTAAGAATGTTTTCCCAAATAACTATTTCATCAACAGAAAAATCTTTTCTTTTGAGAATTTCCAATAAAACTGGTTTTTTCAACATTTCAAATTCATTTGACTGAAATAATTTTTCACTATAATTACAAAATTTTTCTAAGTAGATATTTTTCAATTCCTTATATTTTTCATTAGCAAAAATCAACTGTAGAATTTTAACTGGATTTTCTTTTATATAATCATCATAATTTTCAATAAAGTATTTCATCATATATTCATAAAGTGATTCAATACCAAGTCTATCTGCTGCAATTAATAGTTTTAATACTTCATCTCCAGAATAGTTTTCAAATTCAATTTTACATGTGTATAAAAACCTTTCAAAATAATAAATTATTATTTACTATATATTTAATATAATAAATAATTAAACTATTTAAACTTACTTGAGAATAGGGTTGAAAAGTTTTTCACTAATATTAATTTTCTTAATAACATAATATCCATTTTCTTTTGTTGCATGACTTAATGCATTGCCAAAAAATGAACAATGGGCTGATATGATGGATGCATGTGCATGAACTTCTTTAATGTTTGGTTCTACGCCAATATATATTTTTACATCATAAAGTTCTTCAGTGTTTAATAATCTTTCATTTTCGTTAAAATATTTTTCAAATATTGAATTCATTTTATTTATTTATTTTTTTTATAAAAATGTTTATTTGGAAAAAAAAAATTTGTCATGATGGGATCTTTAAATTATACTTTTGCTAACTATGACACGTCATCTATAATAGTAAAATGTAATAAATTGCTTGTATGTCGATCACTGACATCTATATTTAGGACAATAAACAAAAAAAAAATTTGATTATTTTCATTGGTGCAAAACTTCATAGTAACGCAAATTGAGGCAAATTATCGTCGATCACTTACGTTTTATGGAGAGGGTTTTGGTCGAAATAATTAAAATTTTGAGGTGGAGTGTTTGGATATGAAATTCTGATTGGCTAATTTGAATTTTACATATGTGAATTGCAAATTCACAGTAAAGCCGCAAATGGCCATAACAGATTATATAGTTTTCTTATCCCAAATTCAAATAATGAAAACAATGAAATAATAAATTGAAAAAACATTGTAAAATACTATATGCCAGGATTTATTGGAGTGTCATATAAGTAGAT